ATATATATATATATATATATATATATAATATGTATGCATGTATGTATGTTTGTATATAGATGTGTTTGTATGTATGATACACAGGTGGTTTACAGTGCAGATATGCAATATACATGATGTATACATATATATATATATATGTATATATATATATATATATACATATATATAGGGTATGAGGATGATACGCATAGCATGCATGGGTCTCCTCTCTCCCTATATATATGCACATATATACATATGCAAGAATATAATATATTTATTTCGATTCACAAAAAAGTGTCAGCTCATTCAAACGACAAAATAAACCAATACAAACGACAGATGCAGCACCCCGTGCTTCACTAACGCCAGCCGTTGCTGTTTCTGCCGCTGCTGCTGCTGTTGCTGCTGCTGCTGCTGCTGCTGCTGCTATACCTCCTGTTGCTTTTGCAATCCTGCGGATGTCTTTCTTTGAGACGCGCCGCACAGCCAAGGCCCCCGCCTCTACGAAGTACTTGAGGCACATATCATCAATGCCCTGCAACAGCAGCAGCAACAGCAGCAGCAGCAGCAACAGCAGCAGCAGCAAATCACCACAAAAAGAAACAGACAAGATAAATAACAACACCCGCCAATTCGTGCACTACGCACCCAACCCTTAACAAACAACACGGTGAATACAGCTGCCTATACACCCCAAATAAAAAAGCTGAGTATACGCCGCAAACGACTGAGGTGTACCTGCGTTGTTATAATGACGTTTGCCCCCGACTGCAGCACTTGCTTCACCCTCTGTCGCGCGATATCCTTCTCTCTGCAAAATAAACAAATCTAAACCCAACACCAATGCAGCGCCTCTTGCTGCTGCTGCTACCACTGCTGCTGCTGCTTTTGCTGCTACTGCTACTGCTGTTGTTGCTGTTGTTGCTGCTGCTGGTTCTCGTGCTGGGGTGGTTGCTCCAGCTGCAACAGCTCTTGCCACTACTCGAGCTTTTGCTGCTACTGCTGCTGTTGCTGCTGCTGCTGCTGCTGAAAGAAGTATTTCTGCTTACTGCTGACGTATCTTTTCAAGTGCCTGCGGATCATTGACTTGAATGGAGACCCCCAACTGCATGCGGTGCTGCCTCAGCCCGAAGTCTAAGAGAGCAATTTTTGCGTCTTTCACCACCATCGGCATCCCTATTAATGACACACATCAAACTCATAAATGTGTGCTATACTTAAACATATATATATATATATATAAACATATATGTATGTATACATTTATACATGCATAAATATACACACATATATATATGTATATATGTATACATGCAGGCATCTACACATGCATATATATTATGTACATAAATAAATAAAAAGAAAGTATATAGATTTATATATATAGACAGACATAACTATCGAGAGCTTGCAGAGAAAAAGAGCAAAGAAGAGGCGTGTGCAGACCTTGAGCAGCCCTTGAAGTTTTCAGTGCAAATCCATCGACAAGTTCAGAGTCTCTTGTGCTCTTTCCATGTGTCTTCAAAATAGAAATTGCCTCTACTGGGTATCGCACCTCCCCCCGCTCTGTTACCTATGTGCAGATACACCCCAAACAATTCTAAAGGCGAGATGCAGCAGCTGCGCCTCCTTCAAGAGGGATTAGGGTTTAGGGTTTAGGCAAACGGCACAAAGAAGAAAACACAATGAGCAACGCAGAAACGCAGGATATATAAGACTAAGGCCCTTCTTTATATATATATATATATATATATATATACATATATGTATATATACAGATACAAATATACATATGTATAATATCTATAAATATATATATACATAGATACAAATAAACATATACATATGCATATACAGAGGCAAACATATATATATATATATGTAGGCTCCATGCATGCGGTAAATAAGAAAAAATAAACAAGATAGAGAACCACGCGGGGCCGCATCCGCATCTTCTTGCCATCTACCGCCGACTCCTTGAATCCTCTCTCTACCCCTTATTATTTATTTATTTATTTATCTAGTTGTTTATATATATATATATATGTAGTGGTTAATATACTTATTTATTTGTTTATATATTTATATATTTATTCTATTTATTTATATATTTATGTGTTTGTATATTTATTTACCGTCTTAACAGACTGGATGGCGGTAACACACAGACGCGAGAAGAATTCTTCTTCAGCCCCAATAAACTTCGAAGCCAGCGAAGTCTTCGCCACAGACAACACCAAATCTGCAGCCACTAATTTCGACATATCTACGCTTAAGTGACTCTTCAGGTAACGCACACATTCCTATACAGACAAAACACACAAACGCAAACAGAAAGAAAAATATATTATTATACATTTTCAGGGGGAGACGCATCCCCGGAACCATCATACAACGCCGATATATATATATATATATATGCATGTAAATGTGTTTATTAGGGTGTCCGTTGCGGCGTTAAGGGCTTTTGTTTAGTGGGCATGGCTTGGAGTTGAGGTGTAAAGGCACCTTCATTGCGAGACGATATCCTGAAATAACTGCTGTGGGGTGGAGGTCATCCTTGATTAATTGCATAGAAAGACGAAGTAATTCAGAGGCCAAGAGCACAACAGACGTTGTCCCATCTCCTACTTCTTTATCCTGAGGTGTACATACACCGCAACTGCAGTCGCGCGTTCATTGCAAATATCCAGAATACTCCACTCGTCAGATATGCCAACGAGACGCTCGCGCATGTACAAACAGCAAGAATAAAAAAGTACAGACAAAAAGAATTCAGGGAGGAGCGGCAAAGAAGAAGCGCATGAAATGCAGCTGCTTTCTGCTGCCTCAACTCCATCTCGAAGCGGATTAGATACCCACTCACCAGTGCATGCAGGCAAGTATTATAAACCTATAATATAATAAATATTGTATATAGTACGCATACATACTGTGTGCACGTGTATTCCTATAAATATTAATGAAAGGCAGTCGTTGTCGTTAATTCTGCATGTACAATTCATGCGAGCAGGCGCCAACAAATACAAATAAAATATGAATAAAGGAAGGCAAACAAATAAGAGAATACTAAAGAAATTTCTCTAAAAATTCTTACTTGTAAGTCTGACAACTCCACGAGAACTTTTGCTGCTGGGTGTTGCACTTCGAGCTGTTTCAGAATGGTAGCTCCATCATTGGTTACGATGACATCTCCTGCATGCAGAAAGACGAAAGAAAGGGCGGAAAACGAACCCTAAAGGGCAAAGGAAAGAAATTAAAGGCAAGCTGAAAGTACTGTGATGGAGGGAATGGCGAGCTGTTGAGACAGCTGGAGAAAGAAATAAATATAAAGTCGAAAGAAATGAATTACCGATGTCGTCTACAAGCATTTTATCTAAACCATGGGGCCCGAGAGAAGATCTTAAAACATTCGCCACAGCCATCACAGCCGCCACTGCATCCACATAGTTGCACATACACCTGAAGCTGCACATTCACCTGAAGCTGCACATACACCTGAAACTGGTGTTGCAAAAGAGAAGGAAAGCAGCAACAAATTAGCTTCTGCTGTTGTGATGTCCCCTTCCTAACGATCTTCATCTTCTAATGCATTTATTCCGTCATCTTTTCTTCAAGAATTATCTACAAATCTTCAGCTTTCTCTACCAACGCTGTCTGTGCAGTACTGCGAGGAAAGCAGTGCTTTGTAGCGGTGTGCCTGTTGCGGTGTACAGACACTTCGCTATCCCAGCCGTATATTCAGGCGCTGTGCAAACTATGAAGCTGTCAGAAAGTCGAATTTCAACGAAATAGGCCGTCAATACAGCTGGGGGCCCTCCCCGCATGCATGCACCTGTAGGTGAAGGGGTGCTGTTGCAGTGCAGCTGTTATAGAGATCGGAATAAGGCATAGCAATGCTGATTAGAAACTTCAACAAGAAGATGTCTAAATAAAGGATTTAAACCCAAAGAAAACGAAAAGAAGCCAACACCAACCGCTGCACCGACTGCTATATATGCACGCTTACCGTTGGCTGAGCGAACGTCTTGACCGCTTTGCCTCTCTCCGAAGATTGCAAGCGTCATTTTGCTTAAAAATAAAACAAATTAATTCTAAAAATATCATAAAATATACTCTTCAGCCCCGAGGCACTTGGAAAGAAAACAGCTGCCGACCCCACGGCGACGCCTAGACAAGGACAGCCCTCCTTTCAAGCCCCAAGTAAGAGAACATATCTTTACACTATGAAAATATCTACACTTTTATATTTATTTATTTAAAAATAATCTATTTACCTCTTCTTATCTTTCAAGACAAACTCTCCACGCTCTCTTCACTCTCCTTCTCCTTAATGCTGTTCTTACAGAGTCTTTTTCTCTTTTTGCGCGCAACAGAGAATAAGGTATTTAAAGTGGTTGGCTGGCTGTTGAGATTTTTGTTTTAGGATTTTTTGTGCATGCGCTCGTGATATAGATAGAGGCTTAAGGTCTTCTCCTAAAGACATAGCAAAGTGAAAATAAACAAGGCATACAAAACCCTTCGGCTTCAGCAGTACCAAACCCTAAACAACCCTAAACCCTAAACCCTAAACCCTAAACCTGCTAGTAATGCAATACTGAAGACTAGTTTAAAATATATTATAAGACACAAACAATCACAGCCTCTCACGTAGCAGCTGCAGAGCACGCCGTGGTTGCTGCTGCTGCTGCTGCTGGGTTCTCCAGTCCCTGTGGCTGATTGCAAGTGCGTCGTCTATATATATAGTATATATATACTCATTTAAACTTCATTGCCTATCTCAAATAATTCGTAGTATTACTGTCTTTGTAGCTCGGTAAGGGCATTCAGAAGCACAAGGGGCGTACATTCTATCTGCTCTATATTATATCTATTTTATTGGTTGTGGGAATCGAACGCCTTCGTGGGCTTATCGTTGGGCTGCATTGATATATGCAGAAATTATATCAAACAGCTCTTACTTAAGGCTGTTCTTATGAGTACACCCCGACTATTGTTATATTCAGTTATTTCTCTCTGAAATAAACTAAATAATCAAATACCAAACCTTGAACCTAACTCCAATCAAAATGCTTTAAAACAAAAGAGTTCTAAGAGAATTCACTGTTGTCTCATATATATATATATATATATATATATATA